AGAGACAGAGAGACAGAGACATGGACTGAGAATGAGAGAGACAGAGACATGGACTGAGAGAGGATGAGAGAGAGAGACAGAGAGACAGAGAGACAGAGACATGGACAGAGAGAGAGACAGAGAGACACAGAGATAAAGAGACAGAGAGAGAGGAGAGAGACAGAGAAACAGAGACACGGACTGAGAGAGGATGAGAGAAAGACAGAGAGACAGAGACACGGACAGAGAGAGAGAGACAGAGAAAGAGAGACAGAGACACAGAGACACAGAGAGACAGAGAGAGACAGAGAGACAGAGACATGGACTGAGAGAGGATGAGAGAGAGACAGAGAGACAGAGACATGGACAGAGAAACAGAGAAAAAGAGACAGAGACAGAGAGACAGAGAGAGAGGAGAGAGGAGAGAGAGAGACAGAGACATGGACTGAGAGAGGATGAGAGAGAGACAGAGAGACAGAGACAGAGAGAGACAGAGAGAGATACAGAGATACAGACTGAGAGAGGACGACAGAGACACAGACAGAGACAGAGACAGAGAGACAGAGACACGGACAGAGAAAGAGAGACAGAGAGAGACAGAGAGACAGAGATATGGACTGAGAGAGGATGAGAGAGAGACAGAGAGAGACAGAGAGAGAGACAGAGAGATAGAGAGAGAGGAGAGAGAGAGACAGAGAAAGAGAGACAGAGAGAGACAGAGAGAGAAACAGAGAGAGACAGAAATACAGACTGAGAGAGGATGAGAGAGACACAGACAGACAGACAGACAGAGAGGAGACAGAGAAAGAGAGACACAGAAAGACAGAGATAGAGAGAGACAGAAAGAGACAGAGAGACAGAGACACAGACTGAGAGAGGATGAGAGACAGAGAGACAGACACAAGGACTTAGAGAGGATGAGAGAGACAGAGAGAGACACAGAGAGACAGAGACACGGACAGAGAGAGAGACATGGACTGAGAGAGGATGAGAGAGACAGAGAGACAGAGACACGGACAGAGAGAGACACACAGAAAGAGAGACAGAGAGACAGAGATAGAGACAGAGAGAGAGGAGGAAGAGAGACAGAGAGAGACAGAGAGAGAAACAGAGAGAGACAGAAATACAGACTGAGAGAGGATGAGAGAGACACAGACAGACAGACAGACAGAGAGGAGACAGAGAAAGAGAGACACAGAAAGACAGAGATAGAGAGAGACAGAAAGAGACAGAGAGACAGAGACACAGAC